AAAGGATAAATAAACCTGGGCCTTATATTTCCAACTTTTAGGGTCAAAATGATTAATAACGACAAAAAGCGAGAAACTTATGACTGGAGGAAAAACTCATTTCAAAATATTCAGGATTTTACAGAACATTTGTGTGTTTGTGTTGCAGCTGGAGTTTTAAATCTTATTATCTATCAGCGTGATGCTCGGCTACACCAGACTTTACACTTCATCACGAGTCGTCAGGTCAGCGTGTCGAACATCAGGCTCCAGTGACGCTCTCATCCATCCGCTGTGGAACTGGAAGTAAACAGACATTTTCGGGTTTGAAGGAGAAGCAGCAGATTCATTTTCCTCCGGAGGACGGTCGTGAAATTTTAGGGCTTTTAGGAGCGATTTCCTGCTCACACAGTTTTTTTTTTCAACTCGTCTTCACGGTTCTTAAAGTTTCTTTTGTCAGAAGGAAATGAGATTCCCTTTGCTCAGAAAGCAATAAAGCAAAGATTATCGTAATGAGAACTGAGCCATTGTGACATTTAAACAGCTTCACCATTGTGTGAAATATGAGATCAATTACAACAACAACAACAACACAGGGTCATCATCATCACCCCCCCCCCCCCCAACAACAACTGAAGCTTCACACACTTACAGATGATAATGTGCCCCTCCCCCTCTCTTGCAGGACTTCCTGGAGACCCTGGAGGACTTGGATCTGAGCTACAACAACCTGGTGAACATCCCCTGGGAGACCATCGCCCTGTTGGTCAGCGTCAACACCCTGAGTCTGGACCACAACCTGATCGAGAGCGTCCCCGAGGGAATCTTCTCCAACCTGCACAAGCTGGCCAGGTGAGGTCACGTGACACCAACACACACACAAGAGTATTCATCATCTGATTTTCTGCCTTGAATCAAAATGTACTTCCTGTTTACACCGGCTTGAGTGGTCATGCGATATGAGTTTTCAGGCGTGTTGGTACGAGCGATCGTAGTTGTATGAAAATAACTTCAACACAAACCCTGGAGATTTCAAACAAACACAAGGTCAGCAGCGTTTTCCAGATGTTTCTGTACGAGAGTCTGAAAAACATCTCTCGCCCCCTCGCTCTCTCATTAAGAACCTGAACACTGCAGCATTGTGGGTTGGTACCTGTGCAGACTCTCAGCAGTGTGTTTGTGTGCAGTCAGCAGTCGGCTCTGTGCGAGGGTATAAAACACAGTTATTGCCTTGTTTGTAGCCTGATGGATGTTTTGAAGCGTCCTTTAAGTCACACTTTTAGTTTTTACGGGACGAGCACTATATGATGCAGTCTCAGCCACTTCCACCAGCCCACAGGCCATTTCTCCATCAAACCAGTTCTCATAAAACCTGCTGCTCCACACAGTCACTGGAACAAGTGGAACCTCAAGTCAAACTGACACGAGCTGTATTTTCATGTCTTTTAAATATTGTCAGAGAGGATGGTTGTTTGTTTGAACCATTCCGAGGTGTTGCTTAGAATACTGGTGAAGTTCCCGGTGAAAGTGGAAGGACCTCACTCAGAGATATGAGGAAACACAGCTGTGTAATAACTGGTGACAATCTCTGAATGGATGAAGAATAAAAAGCTCATCGGTGTTTCTCTGGGAGAACATCTCCAGAAATGAAGATTTCGTTGCACCAGAATTAAAATAAACCATTTCGAATGGTGTTTTGTTCAATATCCGTCTCTTTGATGAGCTGTTTTCTCCTTTTTGTTGATCTTCTAACCAATTAGACCAGAAACTGGAGCAGGATCCGACTAAACTGAAATCACAGAGCAAATCCCTCCGTGACAGACCTTGCCGTGAGGGAAGTGGAGCTTTCGAGGCTCAGTTCATTTTGCAGTCAGACTCCGGTTCAGCAGCAGCTGGCTCCTCGCTCGTACAGCGGGGACGTGCCCAGCGTGACCGGGTCTGCACTGCAGCTCCACCGGAGCAGCTGCGGGTCCAGCATCTTGCCCGAGGGCACGTCGATAGGCGATGATGGTAAACGTTGGCGCTCTCGCTGGCGTCCTCACAGAGTGGGGATTTGAAACGGTGATTTGATGAGCAGGGCTTCGCTGTGCATCTTCTGCTCACAGCGTTCTGCTCGCACACTGTTTGAATCTGGACGAGCTGCGAACGCAAAGATCTGAGTCAGTGGCTCCGGACGTTTTCTGGATCTTCTCCTGCAGCCTCCTTGTGTTGATGAGGTTTCTAACACGTGACGGACGTGAAACTTGGAGAAAATAACTCTTCTGCACTGTTCACATGTGAAAGGAAAAGCCCCCAGAATATTCTCATTCTGTTCAGGAAGTCACTGTGTAATTACTGGAGCTGTCGCTCACTGTTAAATTGTAATTTTGTGTTTTATTATTACTGATTTTCAATGTTTCCTGCTCTGCAAAGCTCGTCTAGTTCGGTTTCTGAGCTACACACTGTTCTAATTATTAGTGGCAGTCTGTGGCTCAACTTACTGAACAGGCACAAACCCATCAACCCCATCAACAGTAATTTCAATTTCAATTTACGCCTCAATCGCCAAAATCATTGACATATAATAAAGAAAACCAACCGAGCTCCAGATAAAGACTAATGCATTTATTTAAAAGGCTGTAATGAGTCATTTCTGCCCTGGAGACAGAAACGTATGGAGCAGCAGGTGCACAGGTGAGCGTTCACTCACACGCAGCAGTTCTCACATATTAATACACCACGGGGCGGCTGCCCATGAAATAATGTAGGTGAGCAACACGCTCGCTGATCTCCACCGCTACCAACTTCTTGTTAAGTCATCGTTGTTGAATGAGAGGCTCCGGGGGAAAATAAGCTTTTCTGTGTTGGCTGCTGACATCAGTGAATTTACTGCGTTATTACCGATGTTTGGTGAGAAAATTACTCTTCAATTCCTGGAAATGATGAGTTGGAAAATAAGTTTTTATGCTTTATGGGTTTTTATGTGATTACAAACGGGTCAGGATGAAGGAGAAGCTGAATCGTGATCTGTTATATTCCTCTTATTTTTTAATTTAGAATTCTGTGGCACTTTAAGTTTGTAATCTCAGGGAGAGACGTGTTGGACTGATCTGTGTGAATGAGAAAACCTGTTTGGTTTCAGTTACAAATCTTCAACTGTTGAATGAGTCTTGATTCTGTGTCCTCATCACCAGACTGGACATGACGTCCAACAAGCTGAAGAAGATTCCTCCCGACCCGTTGTTCCTGCGGATCCCGGTGTACGCTAAGATGAAGGGTTCCCCGCTCACGGCGCTGGTGTTGAGTTTCGGAGGGAACCCTCTGCACTGTAACTGTGAGCTGGTGTGGCTCCGCAGACTGACCAGGGAGGACGACCTGGAGACCTGCGCTTCACCCAAAGACCTGGCGGGCAAATACTTCTGGACCATCAGAGAGGTTTGTGATGTAACACTTTAAAACCGTAGTTTAAACCCACCGTGAACGCAAATGTCCGAGTGACAGGCTCCGACGTTCTCCGCCTCCTGGTGTGAAGTCGGTAGAAATCCAGGAGAAGTGAATGATGAAGATGTCAGGAGAGTTTGTGTTGATCAGAGCTGACGTCGGTGTCGGCGAAAGTAACTTTTAAGTTATTGCTGATAAACTGATTACTGACATTTTATTAAACCCAGTGACAGACTTTAAAGAGCAGCTCAGAGAGAATGAAGAATATGTGTGATGAAGGTCGAGCCAGCGTTCGATCTATCCGTCATCTAGTCACCGTCTGTGCAGTAGCGGAGCTGTGCGTGTTCTCAGGAGACAACGGCAGAATGAAGATGTTGCTTTAAAGAGGATGATACAGATTGCTTCACTCTTTGCCTCTGGTGGAGATCTCCGACCCTCCCGGACTGATTGAGAGCTGCAACGCTGAGTCCAGGAGCGCCGCGAGGTAACGATGGGATTAATTGGTATCACATTAGAGAGGATGATGTACAGACCCACGCTCCACCTGTAGTCTCAGTCGCTCCTCCTTCACAGAGCTGCTGTAGGATCACTATAAGAGGATTAGCTGGTGAGGAGGTCTGAGAGTTAATAGACTCTTTCCCTCTGAGAGGACAAGTGAACTTCTACTGCGTCCATCAGAGGTCAGACATTAGCCATCACCCGCCGAGGGAATCTCCTCTTTGGAATCGACAAACGCCGCTCGCAGAAGTCGATGAGGTTACTTTCTCACGGAGCTGGAAGGGAAGTTGACATTTGTTGTAATTTGAAGTCTGTCAGGACGAGTCTGATATTTTACTCACCAATAAGAAGACTGATTGAGTATTCATACACCTTTTCTCTCTGATATCCAACTTCTCTCACTTTTATTCTCCCAAACTCTCCCGCCGGGGGGGCGGGGGTTCAATCAAAGCCTTTATAAGCTCTGCAGGAGCAGTCGAGGGTCAGACTGTGATTTAAGACTGAGAGGTACTTGTGGTTTATTTGGAGCTGCAGCTCGGGGGTCGTCAGGTCAGCCATCATCAGAGCTGGTAACACGACCCACCAAGAGCCCAGAGACGGGTGTGGAGAAACTCCCAGTGTTTGGAGTGATGGGTAAGCCCTGGTAAGCCTTGGCTGGCCCTGCCTGGCCTCGCAGTAATACTCCACCAGGGTTTCTGCCAGCTTTACACAGGCTTAGGTGCCAGTGGGTGGGTTTTAAATAATGCAAGGGCTGGAAAATCTCTGAGATCACTCAATCTTCATGTGCAAACAACTGAACTCCATCTGAAGACGCCAGAGGTCAGTCAGAGTCCTGGTCTGTTTTCTGTGAGCAGATAAATTACACATGTGGATTTTAATCCCTTTCGATGTGACACGTGTTGTTTTATTTATTTATTTTGTAAAAGAAAATTATTCTCACGGAGTTCATCAATCCTTCAGATTTCAGTCATGAACATCCCTCCTTCAGAATGAGGTTTGATGAGGACTAAATATCAATGGACGCAGACTTCGGGTCTGTTAAGTGAAGCCAAGACAAAGGGACCTGAAACTGACCAGCAGGGGGCGACTCCACTGGTGGTTTCTATCGAGTTCTATAGAAAGAGGATACCACAGTGTGATTGACAGGTAGTACCGTCCAATGGGTGCAGCTCACAGACCAGTGGGATGTGTGACATCACAGTGGGATGAATAAATGAATCCATGTTCTATTGTTTTTGTCCGAACAGGAAGAGTTTGTCTGTGAGCCCCCGATGATAACTCGTCACACCTCCAAGATGTTTGTGATGGAGGGTCAGGAGGTCAGCCTGCGCTGCAAGTCCATCGGAGATCCCGAACCTTCGACGCACTGGGTCAGTCCTGACGGGAAGTTGATCGGCAACACTTCCAGAACCATCTGTTACGAGAACGGCTCGCTGGACATCCTCAAGGCCTCGGTCAAGGTAGAGATGTGGTCGTGTGCACGCTCAAAGTCCTGGTACAATCGGTTTCGAGGAGATGAAGTCACATTTTTAAGATACAAGGATAAAAGTTGAGTCTTCTTGATTTCTAGGATTCTGGAAAGTTCACATGCATAGCGTCTAATGCAGCCGGGGAGGCCACTGCTCCTGTGGAGCTGGTCGTCAATCCGTCTCCGCACTTTGACCCCAAACTGGACCCTGACCCGGGGCCGTCGGACATCCCCACCTCCATCAAGTCCAACGTCAGCGGAGGCCACGCCCGGTCTGACCAGCAGAGGGTCAGCGTGTCGGATCTGTCGTCCAGCTCTGCGACCATCAGGTGGCCCCCGCAGAACCACATACCAGGGGTCCGCATGTACCAGATCCAGTACAACAGCTCCACAGACGATATTCTGATATACAGGTAAGAGAGGTGTGGGTGTGTGTGTGAGAGAGACAGGAAGTTACTATAAAACCCAAACATTGTTTCCGGTTCCGATGCTCGACACTGGGTCCTGACTTGTGCCGTACACAGGATATAGAAATGGATGATGGGTAAACTTTGCATTTAGAACTTGTACGTTGTGTGAGACAGTAAATTGGATTCAGAAGAAGAAAGAAATAATCTTCGGGTCACATCCAGTATTTTCCTTCATCCTGACTCTTCTCCACCCTGAAGCTAAATGAATTAAAGAAAATATTCTCCATGTCTGGAGAATCATTTTAAAAACTCACCCTGACATATTTGACAACTCTAGAGAAACTCTGTGATCCGCTCTAGAATTTAAAGTGAAGCCAGACATCATGCAGCATTAGTGTGTTGTGACAAACCGCAGAGACATCGGGTTTAAGGATTTCTGTTTTTAACGTGATGAGATTCACAAGTTGACTGTTAATATAAAGACCTTATAAAGATCGTGTTCAAAAATCCTCCTGGAAGAATCAGGATCCTCGGCGGGGGTTCAGGTTTGAGACAGAGGAAAAGAAATGTCATAACAGAAGATAAGATTAAGGTTTAATCAGGTCACTACGCTGTGGAAAAAATAACTGAGAGCCTGCAAATGACTGCAGCTTGGGAAATGAAAGATGTAATAGCAAAAATATAAAAATGAATGCGTGAAGCATGACAGAACATTAAGATTAATGCGAAGCAATACTTTGGTACTATTTTAAAACAAAGACCGAGCAGAAAAATGTCTCGGGGAAAGAATCAATCATTAAACTCTAAGTGTGCAGTGAAAAATATGTACAGATGGATATTTCACGGAATAAGTTGTTTTTTAAAGCAGGGAAATGATCAGTGAAACTTCTTGGAGAGTAAATGTTTTCCTTCTCCAGACCTGAGCCGTCCTGTCCCGCCGCCCCACCGCTTGATTTGCGCATCCTAATCCCCAGATGTGGGTTTCAGAGCAGGTCTGAAGCCGGAGGTGCCGAGCGGCTGAGTGCGGGCCCTCGATCAGCCCACGGCGCTGATGGGATGGTCCCACCGGCCACTCGGCCGGCTCTGTAACCTAGCAACGTCATTCAGAATGCATAATGGAGTGTTATCACGAGGCGTCCGGAGCGCTGGCACACGACAGATTTGAAATGTGTCCACGGCGGGCTTATTCAGCAGAATGCTTAAACAAGGCAGCCTGACGTCCGTCAATAATAATAATGACGACTGAGGATCGAGCGCAGACTCTATGTCCATTTATCAGATTCATCATTTCGTCAAACAGAAAAGATTCTACTTTTCTAGACGTTGAAGATGCGAGTAGATTCTTTGAGAGTCGACACGTTAGCCGGGGAACCACTCAGGTGTATTTTCTGTGTATCTACAGTTTTCTCTTCTTCTTCCTCTTCTTTTTTTCAACCCTCGCTCTGCCGAGGCAGCCTGGAGGCTCAGAGCTGCAGCTCCAGATCAACAATCTGATTCTCCTGCTCTCTCAGCAGCTGTTGTTGTCGTTCTCTTGAGCTCGGCCTTTACTCTGCGTGCGTTCACCCAAACAGTTTGTTGATGTCAGAAAAAAGAAAACCTCCCAACTCGTCCGACACGTCTGGATGAGAGAAAGCTGCAAAACAAACCAGCCACAAAAAAAAAGCTACAGCGAGTTTTATATTTGATAGCGTCAGGCTCCAGAATGTAAAACACCCTCTGCTGGTAAACGCCGCATTGACTCAGTCGATTGATTATTGATTGTTCGGAGGAGTGATATGATCGCGTTCGGCCCTCGTGGCCGCCACACTGACTGTGAGGACGTCTCATCATCGTCAGCTTGTGTTTCCTGGGGCTTTTTTCCATCGTCCCACCTGTGACGCGAGTGAGAGCTCCCATCAGAGCCCTCAGTGGCAGAGCGTACACTTTCAAGTGCAAGAGGTTTCGTACCACGAGTGGAGCTCTCTGGCAGAGTTATTGGCCTCTTCACCAAACGCTGTAAGAGAGAGAGAGTCATGACGCCGCCTCGGCTGAGCTCTGGTCCCAGGCTTCACTCAGACTCTGCCACGAGAGCAGCTGCCGCTCCGAGCTGTTCATGGCGTCTCACCGGGACACTGAACTCCAGAACTCTTCACATCCAGCCGCACTTTCACTTTCCGTCTCATTTTCACTGAGCAACACAAACGTCTTTTTACGCCGTCTGACGTGGGCGTGTTGTCAGTTGGGGGGGGGGGGGGGGCAGCTACCAGGAGACGTTTTGTTACGGTGGTAATGTGGACCACAGACTAAGAACTGCAGTGTCAGCCAGAGCTCAGTTGAGATTCAAAGCTTACTGGCTCTGATCCACCTCGAGCTCTCGTTAGAAAACGCTCCCTCTCTATTCTAAACGTCTGGACGAGGTCAGCGCCAAACTTCGCCCTGGCTTTTTCTAACCTTTATCTTTTCAGGCAGAGCCGAGCTTTCCTGCTCATATTCAGCGTCACAGTCTCATTTGGCAGCTTCCAGTGCTGCGGAGGTGCATTAACTGTGTGAACCGAGCGTCTGCGGCCGGTCGGCCGGCAGCGGGGACTCGGCGTGGAAGCTGTCGGGGGATGGCGGCAGGACGAAGCGTTTACTCATTCGCTGTCCTGCCGCTGATCTTCCAGCTCGGAGCTGCTGCCGGTTCCCCATTGGCCACTGCTGCCCTATCGTAATGGCATGACAAATGGGGATGAACATTTTGAAAGTTCAGTCCAGTTCAGTGACCATCATCGCAGTTATCTCTGCTGCCCATGTTGCACAGTTCAGCTGAGGAAATTATGCGTTGCAGATGAAATAGTTCTGCGCTTTCCCACTTTTTAATTTCTCTGGATTTGTAGAGTGCTGATTTTTCACTTCACACCAGCACAGACTGAGATGAGACCGGGCGCATGCACAGGAAAAACCTTTATAGTGACAGATACCAGTGGTGCAGCATGGACAACACACACACGTACACACACACACACACAGGAAATGAAAAAAGCTGAAAACACAATGAGTTTATATGAAAATCGATTCACACGGTGAAGTTCATTGTGTTTGATGCCTGAAGGAGAGAGATGGATTCATGAGGACGAGTCGGAGGAGGAACTTTCCCTGATCTCACAGAGCAGAGGAATCACATCAACGTTTCACCAGTGAGACAAATGTAGGATTAGAATCTGAAAAGTTAACAATAATAATAATGAAAAAATGTCCTCACTCAGAATCCTTAGTAACAGACAGATTTATTTTACACCACAGACCCTTCACACAGACTCTCTCTTCTTCTGCGTGGATTTAAAAACTCACACAGTCATAAAGGAGGTCAACATTTTAATATCAGTCGATATCGATAATTATCATATTATTATTATTAAACTTTAAAGATGATAAGTCTAAAAGTAGTTTTGCACAAAGACATTTTAGTTTTAAAACCTAGCCTCTGAATCGGTGACCTGTGTAAACGCTGCTGGTCTCGTTTTAATTTTAAGACTCCGGGGTTTTGTTTTAACTGTTTAACGTTCTCTTCTGATTGGTTCTCATCGGTCACATGACTCGACTACCGGCGGTGAAGACAAAGCGTCGCTCACACTTCCTGTGAGGAACAGTTCCGCCTCGTCGTCGCTCAGAGAAAAGAAATCTCTGCTCTGACTCTTCACCATCACTGCTCCTCCTGCAGAGGAGTTTCTGTTGCTAAGCAACCGACTGCAGAGGAGACACTCTACTTCCTGTTTACGTCACATGACCAGTGGCTTGAACGGTCATGTGATGAAATTATAACTGATATTTTTTAAAAAGCGGTGCATCGCAAACACCATTAGAATCATGTGAAGTAAAAGATTCATGGTGCTGAGTGTTCACTCTTCATCTCTCCTCCTCCTCCTCCTCCTCCTCCTCCTCCTCCTCCTCCTCCTCCTCCTCCTCCTCCTCYTCCTCCTCCTTCTCCTCCTCGCTTCCTTTTTCATTTCCCCACACTCTCAGGTTTTCAGTTCAAGGCGCTGCACCGGCAGAAAAAGTCCAAACGACCAGAGAGCAAGCGAGAAAACAGATCGACATTTTCTCATCTCTCACTCGCTCGCTGTGTGTCGGACTCTCGATAGAAGAGGGGGAGGGAGGAGGGGGGAGGAGGGGGAGGACTAGAGGAGAGGAAGTTGTATTTTTACAGTCATCCTTTTTCTCAACTCTGCCCCAGGGAAGAATAACCTGACCAGCTTTAAACTTCACCTCCCTCTGTCTCCCTCTCTCTCTCTCTCTCTCTCTCTCTCTCACACACACACACACGCACACACTCTAAGGATTATGGGTCCAGGGAGAGATCAACCTCTGTCAGCACCAGGAAATGAATCTATTGATTCCACTGTCTTCAATATTCTCTCCTCTTTGTCTTTCTGTCCTGACCGAGGATGTGTGTGTTTCTAATTACCACGCTGCTCCGAGGAGAGATTAAAGAAGAGAGGGAGGCAGAGTGAAAAACTAGAAAGACGGAGGGATGGAGCGACAGAGGGGATCTGCTGCTGCTGCGGTGATTCTCTGACTCAGCTGATAACAGAGATACAGTAGGAAGTGGAAGGAAGGAAGGAAGGAAGACGGAGGGCACAGGTTGAGGAAACAGCAGGCGACGGTATTCTGCTGAACCGATGAGGCATCAGGTTTCCTCTCTTCCTGCTCACTACTCTCATCCCTCTGTCCCCTGCATCCATTTCTCCATCCCTCCATCAGACCTTTAGAAAGTCACTGTAATGTCATGTTCCCTCCCTGTCTCTTCCCTCCCTCCATCATCTCACCTCTCCGTACGCCTCCGCCCTCCTGCCCTTACTCTACTCCCCTCCGTCTGCTCTCCCTCTCATCAGCCAAATGTCACTCGGTCCCGCCGGGTCTCCCGTTAGAAAACTCCCCGTACGGAGGCTGACAGCCGTCTTTCTCTCCCGCTCAGACTCAGGTCGGATCTTCCATCAGGTGAAGACACAGACTCGTAGGACTCATCAGCACAGTTCACATGTTGTAATG